AATTTATTTAATTAATTCACATCTGCCAGTAAATTAGTCAATATATAAGTACGTTTGACATTTGTACCATAAAGTATTTCTTCAGCGAGTCGTGTTGTGCTGTGATGATAAGTATGTCGCGTATGAATTGTTTTTTTAAAAGCCACTCGTGATTTGATAAAATCAAAGACGAAGATTCAGACTAATATATAATAATAAGAACTCATGTTGAACATATTGCAAAAATTAGAGAGATATAAAAAAATACAGTAACGAGATTTGTCCTATTGTTAGGGAGTAATCTCTTTTAAGCATAGTTAGGGTTACACGATAAAATTTCAAAGTAAAAATAAACGCCGGGTGCAATACATATTCTATTCTGTTCAAATACTTAAATGGAAGGACTGCTACCAAGCAGTAATGTGAGCATTACTAAGTTCCGGTTCTGAAGGGTAAGGGTGCTGGTTAAATTACAGGCACATTGGACTTGTCAACTTATGTCTCAGGGTGACGGGAGCAGTGGCAGTGCTCCTGAGGTCTTTGCGATTCAAAGCTGTGTGTGGCACTGCAACTGTTATGGACAGGTGTTTCGCTTACCGCCAGGCGCTCGACTTCCCGACCTGGTATTATAAGAAAAGTACTTATAATTAGATTGTAATAGTAAAATTAAAATTAATATAATAAAAATATTTATAAAATGGACCATCAGCCAGAGATCACTTGAAACCGACCGTACCACAAGCTGATGAAATATACAGTTAAAAGTATGTGGGCTTATTTGTATGTTAATGTAAAGCGATAAAGTCGAGTTTCACTTACACGTCGCTTCACGGAGCAATTAACGTTTTACATTAACGTTATTGTCACATAGATGTGACACTAAGTGCCTGTGGCGATGGTGTTTCTCGGATCCTACATTAAATAATGGGGAGAGATACGAGAAATGAAATTAATTTGGAAGAGGAGGTAATTTAAGTTTTTTTTTGTGTGTTACTAAAACCGGCAAACGGTCAACAAGTCGGTACACCATTACCGTGAGTTGATAGTGACAGTGGTCGGTAGTGAGTGCGTAAAATAGTTTTATACAAAAATTATTTCTTTTCGTGACCGCTTGCTCTACAAGTCGTAATACAAAATTGTGAAAGATTTTGGAAGGAAAAACGTTTATTCAATAAATTGTGTCACTACATATATCATCATCAGCAACCCATTTATACGTCCTCCTTTCAAGCTAGGCCCAAGTCCGCCTCGCTGCTCCAATGCGAGTTGGGCACTTCACGACGTGTGAAGAGGGTTATGAACCTTCTTCGACGTGCAGGTCTCATCGCGATGTTTTCCTTAATCGTAAAGCTCATGGTAAATTTCATATTAAATTTCACAGGTAAATTTCGAGAAACACCGAGGTTTCAGATTCGAACTGATGGCCTCTGCTTAAGAGGCGGTAGGTCAAACCAATTAGGCTACCACGGCTTATTGTACTATACACACGCTATTCACACCTAAACCTAGACCTAAACCTAACCTAATCTACACTCAGGAGTTGAAATAACCTGAAATAGCTTTGGTTAATTTTGCATAACAGTCAGTGTTGAATAAATCACTTTGGAAAAATATTCAGTAAATTATATAGCAGTACTTTCACATAAAAATAATTGAATGTCAATTCAATAAAAATTTAAACACAATGAACAGTGACATCTCTAGCCGGGGCTGGTAACTGTAAAGGTATCTAACTGGGTGACGAAATATCATAGATTTCTCATAGATGGCGCTACGGCTAAAAAGTCGTTGAAAAACCAAACACAAAGATACGACGCAAGCACATAGAAAAATTTGTAAGGTCCGCAGGTTCGTTCCGTGGCTTAGTTGGTGTAGCGTCTGCCACGGTATGCTAGAAGATGTCGGTTCGGATCCGGCCAGATCGAAGGAAATTTTTCTGAGTGATCTTTGTATTAATAATTATATATAGTAAAGTAGGAGGATACATCTACACTGACGGTGTGAAAACTCGATTCGTAAAAGTTTTCACGATCGATAAAAAACACAAACTTACCTCGACATTTTACAAGAAAACCGGTGCGTTCAATAAGTATTTTAATACACATATCAATAGGAAATGAAACTATTTTTCCAGATTTAAATCGCGTATATTTGTTTTGTTTCACGGTTGACTCAACCGTGACCATGACCGTAAAGGGCCCGAAATGTCAGTTTGTTTGGAAAAACAAATATACGCGATTTAAATCTGGAAACATAGTTTCATTTCCTACGTGTAACAATCGCGAAAACCTAAGAACTCGATACACATATCAATGTTTTTTTAAATGAACTTAACTAAATAAAATACTTACACCATACGATATACACTTTCCAAATGGCTTTAATTTCGTTTGTAAAAAGATAAATCATGAAATAAAGCCTGTGTCCCTCTCGATCTACCAAGGCAAAATGACCCGTATTAGTACGGGACAAATTTTAATTCGAGCTGAGATAGTATAGACTCTAAAAACAACAAATAACTGAGTAATTTTTAAGTTAATAAGAGTGCATAGTGACGCAAAAGAGAGAAGGACACGACTAAGCAAAATGTCTATCTAAGGAGACAGATACTGCTTTTCATTAGTTCCGGTTTTAGCGTAAACTGAGTCTGAAGAAAATGATACATAATGCTGTGGGTATGGTCTGTAATATGCCACATTATTACACATTTACTTTATATATATTATATTACATTTTATGTGGGTGCTAGTTTGTCGCTAGCTATAACTGATATTGTAAAGTCGTGGTAGATGGACAGGATAAAATGAGAATATCCGTAAATTTAACTTTTTATAGATTTTCCTTTCAAAATGACAGAACGTGACAGGGTGTCACGTTTCGAAGCAGAGTGATGAACTAATATCCGACACACACACACACACACACACACACGCACGCACGCACGCACGCACGCTCGCACGCACGCGCGCACGCACGCGCGCACGCACGCACGGACGCACGCACTCACACTCAAACACAAGTTAACACCAATACATGACATCGTAACTACAAAACACACGTACACACGACTGTTTATAAATACATGTTCCCTTATTATTTATAGTATAGTTTAAAATGACATTACATCTCTATTAAAATTGGTGTAAAATTAAATGGCATTATGTTTGAAGTGGGGAGCTTGGAAGCCTAAGATACAGATATCTGATCTAGTTTTGATTCCAGTCTCCTACAAATTTTGGCACTTTAGAAAATAAGATATGTTTGTGTGCCAACAATTGTTACCAAAATTTGTGGAGAGAAATACATTTATTATTATTATTAATTTAGCGCAGCACTAATACGTTCGTGAACGGAGTATTGCTGCCACCTTTAGGATGGTTATGCTAAATACCAACTGGCCACCTAAGATTCAGTTTAAAAGATTGCCAAGAGGGTTATAAGCACCTATAGGTGAGTCGGATTTAGTAGAGGCGAAGCTGCAAAGCCTTGAATATCGCCGTAAAGTGACCTGCATATCTGTATTCTACATGATATATCATGGAATTTGCGAAGGAATTGCACAATTTTTTCCGCCCTCACATTTCCATCATCGCAGGAAAAGCCGTAGGCTTGGATTCCACTCCCATGTTCAAGATATTATAAAGAATCTCGCCAAGCTTTACGCTTCTACATTCATCCGGCGAACGGCTATGGAGTGGAATTCCTTGCAAGCAGACTTATTCCCTTATCATAAGAAAAATAAAATTAATCCCAGTTGGAGACCCGTACAGCAAAAGTTAAAACCTATTTATACGGATATTAATGACACGAACATTGAGTTTTAAAGGTATAACTGCCGTTGCCTCGGATCCGGATCTAAGACAAAATTGCCTGTCTTGACGTGTTATTACATTTCAGAAACTCTCCTTAATTCCTTTTTATTAACTTTACCTTCTTTTGACAGTAAAACTTGCCGGTACATTGGACTGTTTTTTAATTAACTATATACTACTTTCGTAAATATTAAAACAAATGATGAGAAACGATTTTCCTTCGCCCTAATTTTTTCCCTATTCTCTATTTGTTACTTCAAATGAAATAATTATGTCAGAGAAAATTCTCTCATTTATTTTTTTGTTAGAGAACTAGCTTTTCATTGCTGCATTAAAATGGCGTGTGTAATGTATCATATAAACATAACTTAATAATATAACTTTAGTAAATATATATTTTTTCATATATCAATTCTCTTAACATAACGAATGTTTAATATGTTTACTTAGATTCCATAATTTCAGTTTTGATAACAATCATTGATCCCAACATTCATTTTAAATAGCAATTAGAAGTTATAAACCTCAGCTTACATAACTAAATAGATTATTAAACTGACAAAACAAATCAGGGTTTGGCAGTTGATTCATTTTTTTTTATTACCCGAGGGAATCTGCTTACAGATTCCCCAGCTTAGCAACATGCTCACAAAGAAAAGTCTAATTGAGAACCTCCTCCTTTTTTAAAGTCGGTTAAAAAGTAAAATTAAAATTAAAAATGTACTTACTCTATGTTCTTCTAAATTCCAATCTCTGCCTGTTGTATTAGATGTACACAGTAAAATACTCTGTGCTGCTAAGTGCACTATGGTCGATGATCCATGCGTATGTCATTTAAGTTTTAACGTTTGTTATTTCTGTAGTAAATGTATATAGTGAGGGAAGTACCCTCTTATTTATATAATGTGTAATAGAAAAGATATCCGCTCTATACGCTGTGGTGTTCCCAGCAACGAATACATACCAGGTGAAGCCTGAAAACCTGCAAATAGCTCAGGCTTTTAACTTTTCTTCGATATAGATTTAAGCGTCCTTTTTTGAATTTTATTTATTTCTTTCTTTTTAATGTTGATTTTAGTAAATATGTCAAATTACAAATTTGAAAAACAAACCATAACTCCACCAATTCACAACAAATTGCAATTTGTTATTTTGAAGAAATTGTAGTAGTTTCGCAAAGATTCTAGTATTTATTAATGCCTATTACAGATGGCTGGAGGTGGAGACCCAAAATGGCAGAAGGACGCTGCGGATCAGAACTTCGATTACATGTTCAAGCTGCTCATCATAGGAAACAGTTCTGTAGGAAAAACTAGGTAAGAACTTCCTAAAGGTTACAATATATTACGTACTAATATAATATTATGAATTAAACACACTTCAAATAAAGTTTGGTCGACCGCTCAATCTTAAGTGTCGATACTACCTTTGCTCGAATTAAAAATGTTCCCGTACAGAATCAGTTCTATTGAGCGGGTCGAGCGGCAGGGACCAAGGACACAGTCTTTATTTCAGAATGTATTTTTTTACAAACGAAATTGAAGGCATTTGAAAAACGTAGATCGTATCCTATACTTGTTTTGTAAAAAAAAAATCATTAGTGTATGTAAAGTACTTATTGAATACAGCAATTTTCTTCTGAAAATTCGAGGTAAAATTGTGCTTTTTTTCTATCGTAAAAATTTTTCGGAATCGTGTTTTCACACCATATACTAATCAGTGCACATCCTCAATTTTACTATATATTTTCTCCAAAGTGATCGATTCAACACTTTCACTGTTCTACTATCAAGGGTTATGTAGTTGTTAATGAAATTTAAAAAAAGCCGTGGTAGTCTAAGGGCGCGTGTCCACGCTAAGAAAAGTCGCAAGGTCTATGCAAGAATTCGTGTCGGTTCTACACACGAACTGTGTACACTGCCTCGACGCCGAACAAGAAAAAAAATCTTGTCTACTCCCAACACGACGCGCTCTGCCGCCATTGTATGGGGCGGGTTGAGGTGCATTGTCAGTAAACGAACGTTTATGCACGTGGACGGGTGTTGCTTAGTAGTTAACATATATAACAACATATTTCTTGCCACAGTCGGTAGTAAAACGACAGCTACCTGGAAGACTCGTAATGCACTGACATATTTTTACACACGTCTGTCTTAAGCATTCGTATCGTGTACATACTCATCATTTTCTCATCTGCAATAGACACGAGATGTTTTCGTGGCTAGATCCGACAAAGTTCTTGTCGTGTACAAGACCATTCTCATCTTTTCTATACAAGACACGTCGAATTTCTTAGCGTGTACACGCGCCTTAATAGTTTCAACTACCACCTCTAAGCGCGTGGGTTCGAATCCGGGCTTACACCTCTGAGATTTTTAGAATTTCTGAGCAATTAAATGAAGGGAAACATATTGAGGAAACCTGCATATCTTGAGGGAACTACAGCCCAAACCTTTCGATTGCAAGAGGAGGTCTGTGCTCTGTGCCCGGCAATGGGACTCTATATAGGCTAAATAATAACAGTAATGTTTTTAAGTATATTACGTGTTGGACAAACATCGTAGTTAGTAGCAGCACAATTCCTTGTGAAAGAGTCATAATGTGAGCATAACCGCGTTCCGGTTTTGAAAAGATAAGGTTGCTGGTGAAATTACAGGCACATGGAACTTGTCACCTTATGTCTCAGGGTGGTTCAAATTTCTGCTATTCAAAGCTCTGAGCGGCACTACAACCGTTATGAACAGGCGTGTCGCTTACTATCAGGCGCACGACTTGTTCGTCCCGTCACCTGGTATTATAAAAAAAATCGTGCCATTGAATAAACTCAAATAAAATACAATTATTGAAACGATATATCTAGTAAGCTGCTGGTATCTATAAAGTTACCTAACTGAGTGAAGACATAGATTTCTCGGCAAAAGAGTCGTTAAAAACCAAACACCAAAGATCAAAGATCTTACGAATTTTTCTATGCAACAAGCACTTAGAAAAAAATCTTAAGATTCGCTAGTTCGTTCCGTGGTTTAGTAGGCACAGCGTCTGGCACTGTTTGATGGAAGATGGTTTGAATACAGCCTAAGTGTTCGATCTTTGTATTAATATATGTAATTATGATAAGAGTACAATTATTCCTCGGCAAAGATAAATCTTGGAAGGTTTGCAGTTCAACTTGCCCTTTACCATTGACGAGTTATGATGACCTAAACTTTCTCCATAAAACTCGCGTTCAGCTGTACGATGTAGGTACTGTGACTATATTTTTCTCTATTGTTTCCAGTTTCCTGTTCCGTTACGCAGACGACTCGTTCACGTCGGCGTTTGTGTCCACCGTCGGAATCGACTTCAAAGTAAAGACGGTCTTCCGCCACGACAAACGCGTCAAACTTCAGATATGGGTAATTACACCTACTGTTTTGCAAATAGTTTGTTAAACCCGTTGCATGTAAGAGCTATTATTGGGACTTGTCAACTTATGTCACAGGGTGACGGGCGCAGTGGCAGTGTGTCCTGTATCTTGCTTTCTAAGGAAATATTTAAGGTTTCTTGAAATGATGAAACACAGCTGACTGTGTACCTGAGTACAATGAAGCCTTGTAATTTCAAGCAACATGTACAAAGTTAGGCTTAATAAAATATTGAATATTAGAATGTTAGACTAGTAGGTTGGGCGCAGCGCACAAAAGAGATCGGAGCCTGAATGGGCCCACTCATCCGTAGAACAAAGGTCTATGTGCAAGGCTACTTGTTCTCAGGACATAGTACATTTCGTACGTTCTTCTTCGCTGTGGATGTCAGATCAACTGTTGTTCGATTTTATAATTTCCGAAACGAAACAAGATATATAAATTCTCTTCTCAAAACACCTTTACATAGGCCTTAGTTTGAATAATGAAATTATTTTCGTAACGTGCTTATTCTCTTTTCGCTATATAATCTCATCGGACTCTGTTCTTTGCTTGAGTCGATATAGGCCTTACGACTATTCGTGGGAGACAGGGCAGCTCGCTCCATCCGACGCGGCGTTCGGTGCGGACACAGTGCCCCTCAGTTCTTTGCAATTTAAAGCTCTGAATGGTACTCAACTGCTATGGATAGGTGTCTTGCTTACCACCAGATGCACGACTTATTTGTCTCGTTACGTGGTACCATAACAAAAATGTAATTTCTCACAGATAGCGTTACGGCAAAAAAAGTCGATAAAAACCATAAACAAAGAGCAGCAACAAGCACAAAGGCAAATTCGTAAGATCTGCTAGCTCGTTCCGTAGCTTAGTTACCATAACGACTGGCATGGCTTACTGGAAGACGTGGGTTCGAATCCAGCCAGATCGAAGGATTTTTTTCTAAGTGTTCGATCTTTGTATCAATAATTATAAGAAACTAGTGGAGTAATCTCATAAAAATAATTGAATATCATTCTGACATTCAATAAAATTAAAATTTTTATTTCATACATTTTAACCTATTTTTATTTGGAAAGAATTTACAGTGAATGTTATGTTGCACCATGCAAGACGACTATTTATAGCTGGTTTGCAGAATTCGCGGTCGTGTGAATCTCAGTGACGAATTTCGTGATTATCGCCCGTCCAATACTGTTAACAACAAAAACATCGATGCTGTGCGCCGTATGATCAAAACAGACAGGCATGTGACATTCCTTGAGATCCGGGCATATTTAGGCACGTGGATGAATGAAATACATTCAATACTACACAAACATTTGGGTGTGAAAAAGCTGTGCTCTCGGTGGATCCCACACAATTTGACTGAGACTCAAAAAACGGATCGTGTCACTTGGTGCAATGCCATGCTTACAGATTCAACGAAGGAACGTCTAATTTGGTGTGGGACATAGCAACAGGTGACGAAACATGGATTTATAGTTACAATCCCAAAACAAAGCAGCAATCGAGCGTATGGGTCTTTCGAGATTAGCCGAAACTAACCAAAGTGGCGCGCGTGCAAAGTGCCTCTAAGCGGATGATTGCTTCTTTTTTTTTAATAAAACTGGACACGTGGCTACTGTTGCTTTGGAGAATTGTTGTACCATAAATAGTGATTGGTACATGACCATTTGTTTGCCGGAAGTTATTGACAAACTGTAAAAATAACCGTAAACGCCTTATCATCTTGCACCACGATAATGCCAGTTCACGCACAGCCAGACAGATCTATGGGTTTTTGTGAAGGTGAACAACGTTGACCTTGTGACTTTTATTTATTTCCAAAAATTAAGAACCAGTTACGCGGTCAACGATTTTCATCACCTGAAGAGGCTGTCGAAGAGTATGAAAAATATGTTTCAGAGATTGTCACGGAGGAGTGGCACAAATGTTTTCAAAATTGGTTCATTCGTATGAAAAAGTGCATTAACGCTAACGGAGAATATTTTGAGAAACAATAAATTCATTTCTGACCATTTATAGTATTTTTTCTTATACATTCGTGTTCGCGCCACACGTAGTGTGCACCCCACGTATGTTATAAAATGAAAGTTAAATAAAGTTATTGTCACTTGGTACGATAAAAAAAAAGTTAAAAATGAGACGTTACCTAAGAGTCGATATAACCTCAAATGGCTTTGGTTGATTCAGCATAACAGTGAAAGTGTTGAATCAATCACTTTAGAAAAATAATATAGTAAAATTGAGGATAACATATCTGATTATAGTATACGATGTGACAAGATGTAAAAAAATCACAATAGGATAAAATGATTATTATTTTATTTATTATTTATTTTAAAAACATAAACTTACCTCGAAATTTTACAAGAAAGCCGCTGTATTCAATTGGTACTTTACATATACCAATGATTTTTTTATAACTAAATCGATTACGTATAGTATACGATATACATTTTTCAAATGGCATTAAAAAAATAAATTCTGAAATAATAACTGATTCGGTATGGCAAAAAATTGAATTCCAGCTGAGGTAGTATTGACTCTTAATAGATCTATTATTCCGAAAATTACACCAATTACCTGGTCTCTAACTAGGAAACTCCCTTTACTGTGAATACCATAGCAATTCACTCGGTACTTCGAAAGAAATCAAAGCTGGGAGCTCTTCAAGCCGTAGGGCCACAGAGGTCGTCATCATTTAAATACATATACTGTGTTATTACGTAACATAAACGGGCGAATTACGAAGTCAGAGCTACAAATCTTCAAAATTAAGAAAGTTTGTGGTAATGCATATACCTACTTTTGCTTAGGAATCTGGAATTTAAAACATTGAACATGGTCTAAAAGATTTTGTTTTTTGACGTTTCCATTACAGTGAACTTTAAGTAACGTGTACCAGACCAGGAATTCCTGTCATAATGGTTTGGGCCTTAGTCTCAAATTCAATCGTTTAGGTTCTTGAGCGGTCTCCCTAAGTAGATGCATGGAAAAAAACCGTTTCCATGCAAGCGGTGTACCGGTGTAAGAAATTGCTGCAAAATTATTATAATTTTTTGAGTTAACAACAAAGAAGATTCGTTTTACTTACTTTGTACATTAAATATAACACCATATTGGGACTTGCAGTGTTTTAGTTTGATATGATAGTAGTAAAGGTGGCACTTTTAGTAGTAGTAGAGGTAGAGTTGTAGTATGAGTGTGAGAGTGTAGGTAGAGAGGTAGAGACCAGGGAAATTCTGCCGCCTTACCTATTTCTGCCGCCAAGCAATAATGTGACCATTAATGCGTTCCGGTTTTGAAAGGTTAAGGGTATTAGTGAAATTATAGGCACATGGGTCTTGTCAACTTATATCTTTGCGTTTTAAAGTTCTGAGTGGCACTGCAACTGTTATGGACAGGCGGATAGCTTAACATCAGGTGCACGACTTGTTCGTCCGATCACTTAATATTATATTAAAACAAACCAGTACAGTCAAATTCAAAGGAACTTGTCAATTTTATGTATCATGGTGGTGCAGTGGCAGTGAATCTGAGTGGCACTGCAAATTATTAAGGATAGGCGTGTGAATTACCACTATGCGCACATTTGTTCTTCCAGTCACTTGATATGTTAAAAAAAAATGTTGAGTAGTTTATAATAATAATAATAATAATGTGCCAGACAACAACAACAATTAAGAAAGTTGATTTCCCAAATTGGTTCTACTGGGAATCGAGCCCGGGACCTCCTCGTCCAGCGTCCACATTGCAATCCGTTGGGTCATCGAAGTCGTCAAAAACAAAAACTGCTAATATTAATTTACATCAATTTATTAAGGAAATCGTATTGTAGATGAAGATGACGTCGTAATATTGGCAATTCAATCTGATTGAGTAAGTAATAATTAACCTGTCGCTATCGTTTCAAAAGTGTCGTGGTCTTTTGTGTTTTCAGCTCGCTTTTAGCGTTACCCTCTTTTGAAGGTAGACAACAAATGTATTCATAATCATTTTCTTTTGCACCTTTCTCAACCCCAAACAAACAAAGAGACAAAATGGCAAAGACAATAACTATCTATACAAATGTACTTATGTTGGTTCTCTTACAAAGGAAAGTGGCCAGATTGAAAATTGGCTCGGAGAATTGTAAGAATTACCTAAGTAATTAATTCTTACGGGCCTAAGCCCGTAAACAACTCCTATATAAAGAATTTCACTACATTGACTATCATTTACTTTATCGCTAACAATGAGTGTATACAAAAATACGCCTACATTCGTGAGACCTCGGCCATCGATCAGATTAAACGAACAATCGTCGACCATATAAAGGAACACATACGAGCTGTAAAAACAATAAAAGACGAGAGAGTAGTATAAAATCTTAAGCCAAAAGACATTAACTTGATCGAGGAACGTACCTATGTAAAGCCATCGAGATCTCAAAATGCCACATATTGAAACGTGAAGGCACATATCGTCGGGAACAGTGCAAATCCGCGTATGCATATAGTATTGGTAAAAGCGCGTATCACCACCAAACCAAATTCCACAAGAGAGGGATTTAACGTTATTACCACGTTATTATAAAGGCTACGACTTTCATTTTTGCACAGTAAGCATTAATTTATGTTATCTACGGGCTGATAACAATAACAAGATTTCTGTAAATCACGCTAATTTGATTGCCAAGACATTTACGCGGATTTGATTTGCCGACTCTCAGTCTCAGGAGTCTCATTTGACGATTTGTCCTGTCAACTATCGCTGTACATGTGCGCGGAATTCAAAACGAAGAACGGAAAATTGATGAAGAAGTTATAACACGATCTCTGCACGAAACCTACGACTAGGAGAACTAAGAGATCAAATTCATCAAGACAAAGTAATGTTAAAATTTATTATTTGTACGTTAATGATGAAAAGGAAAATAAATGGAGACAATCGGGCGTCGGTATGAATATATCACGACAAGTCGTAGTCAGCTCAAAGGAATTCCGTTT